ATAATGCACACATTGGAGTATAAAAAAAGAATCTAATTGTGTTATAATCTGTGCTTTTGTGTTCCAGATTTGCACCATTTCAGTATCAGATCCTGTAAACACAAAGCTAAATGAATATCATGCGGGGTCACAAAAAAATGGCACATAAAATTTCAACAGAACACAAGAAAACATAAGTTTGACGATAAACAGGAAATGTTTTTCTTGATCTTTCTTTTTGTGTTTACAGCGATGTTTCAAATGTTGTCAGAACTCAAAAATCTGTGCATGAAGGTGATGCACAAATCAAATCTTTATTATTCTTGAATGATCATTCACCCGACTAACATCGCCACAGTTAACTTCTTTTGTTGTGTGTGTGTGTGTGTGTGTGTGTGTGTGTGTGTGTGTGTGTGTGTGTGTGTGTACTGAGTCAGGAGTGTGAGATGTGTCAGTCCTGAGGATGAGTGATTACAGTGGACAGTAATCCTGCAGATGGATTAGCAGGTGGTATTAGGAGAAGTGGGGGTGAAGCACACAGCCACCTCTGAAATGTCACAATATGGAGCAGCAGCTCGCTGGGCCTCACCTCCGTCTGCTCCACACCAGAGACACACACACACACACACACACACACACACTATTGGACCACAGGTTAGGTGACCACTGATCTGATGAACTGGTTATCCTAAAGTGTTTTTTTAAACATTCCCAGAGGAAACACTGACTGCTCATATCCTGCTCCTCTACACCTCCAGATGATCTCCACCAGGAGAAATAACTGAGACTGTAGAACAGGAGCCTCTTTAGTGACTTGGAGGAGCGGTATTGTCTCATTGTCTTCTCAAAAGGAGAAAACAATAATGAGACGCACAAAAAGAGAGAAACACCTCTGTGTATAATCACAACATCTAGCCTTCAAAGTAAACTTAATCAACAATGGATTCAAAAAGAAACTGACACTTCCAATGCAGACACAAAATAAACTGTAAGGTAAGTAAAACAGTGTTTAATATAAAACGCTGCATCATTTCAATATCAATGCGCTAATTGCCTTATTTGAAAACATCTACAGATTATTCAAGATTCAAAGATTTAAAGATTACATTTTTTTATTGTTTATCAAATAATGAGAATATTAGCTTTGATTGAGGTGCAGTAACATAAAAACATTCAGACCAATAACACTCACACAAAGTCAGACAATCATAAAGAAGTCCTATAAATATGTAAAAACACATGAACAGCACGTTTTCCTGGCCTTGTTTAAAATGTGTATTGCAGTTGGAATAAAAGAGTTGCTGTAAGTTTTCTTTGTAGCTAATGGTACTCTGAAACCTCTGCCTGAGGGGAGTAGATGAAGTGAGTGGTGAAGGGGGCTTGAAGGGTCCTCAGTGATGCAGACCGCTTTCCTTTCTGCTGCTCACATGTAAAGTTCTGACAGTTGGAGCTGGGTGGTGCTGGTGATTATAGCTGCATGTTTAATGATTCCAGTGAGTTTGTTTTGCTTTTTTCTGTGAGAAATTTATTCGAGGATATGATGATATACGGAGCTTCAGGTGATCTCTTTTACTTAAAAAAAGTAACTTAAAATGAGACGAAGTTGAGACTCTGTGCTCCTTTTTTTCCCCTGGAGACACAAATGAAAAGCAGGAGAAATAAACCATAGCCTCATTTTGCTTTCACTCAAATCTCAAAGTTGTCTCTTGAGAAACAAATAAAACATTTTGGTGATCTCTTTTCTAAATGTATTTTTCTCTGGGTTGTTTCTTCTTCTTCTGTATATATCCACAGAGTAAGTTCTTTAATTTAACTGAATAAGGACCAGGCTTTTTAGAGTTCATTGTCTAGTTTTTTTTTTTAGAAACCAGGGGTGACTTTAAAACATCACCATGTTCATACTGCAGCCATTTCTGATCTTGGTTCAAGGATTAAATGCTGTCATAATGTTGGACTGGTGTGTTTCTGATTCATACTAGAAAAAAAAGGGTGATTTTAGGTTCAGAACTTTAAAGTTGTTCAGCTCTTAATGAGATTGTTACATGAAGATCTGTTCAAGTGTTTAATGCTAAAACACTAATTTCACTGTAAAGCAAGAGATACTTTTCTTTATATATGATTATTGCTAACTACAATAAGAAACAAGTAATTTGTTTTTAGGAAAATATTAAATGGACTTTAGCTTGTATAACGCTTTTTTGGTCTTCTGACTTCTGAAAGTGTTTTACATCGCAGGTCACACCTACACATTCACACCCTGATAGTAGAGGCTTCTATAAGTGACCATCAGAGGTAACTAATCACATTCATATAGATTCATACGCCGGCAATGAAGCAGCAGGAGCAGTTTAGGGTCAAGTGTCTTACCAAAGGACACATCGGACATGTAGCTGCAGTAATAACTTGTAAAAAAACAAAACAACAACATTTCACTTAATTTAGTGTAACCATTTGATTATCGCTCTTCCTAATCATATCATGTAACTTATGATTAATCTGTTATGTTACCCGGGAGGTATTCAATCACATATGTTGTTTGGCTAAAACTTTATGCAATAGAATGTTAAAAATCAGTAAATAAAAGTAAAGGAAAAAGGTAAATAATAATAATGAAAAAATAATGAATGCAAGCAGAAAACAATGAGAGAGCTTGTGACTGCAGTAAAATATTCTCAGACACCTGCGTTGATAAGATAATGGGAAACACAACGATTATTTAAATAGTATTATATAACTTAAATTGAAACAAAGCTCTCCCACCGTATATCACACACACATCATTCCCTGTTTGAAATCTTTCTAAGAGAGTCTAAGAGAAAAGTATAAAAAGAAATCAGACGTGTAATCTGCTGGGATGTCATTTACTGTCCTCTGTTGTAAACACATTGAGGGGAAAACAACGGGTTCAAAGTCTGTGATGAAACAAATGTTTATGGTGAAGGATTTTTGGGGAAGGACTGGGGCGTATTAAACCTCCAGTACTTTATTCCAACTTTGTTGTTAACCTCTTTGTTTCTATTTTCTTTTAAAGACGATTGTTTATTTTGTGACTATCAGATAAATTTGAATCCCCTCAGGGATCATCAATCCATGGCCCTCCTGTCGATGCTTCAGTGAAATATTATATTTCAGAGTATTGGATAGTTTTTAAAGTGTGTTTACTTACTTAGTAAAGTCTGAGAGAGCACACCAAATGTATTGATGACATTCAAATTCAAAGGAGTGACATATGAGCAATTAAATGTCTAATCAATCAAATGTTTTTTTAAGGAAGAGACAGTGTTTCTTTTTCCTGGTTTCCGGCTCTGAACACTGTCCTTAAAGTGTTTTTGTTGTTGTTTTTTTGGTGTCTCCGTCAGCTAATTCCATTAAAAGTGAGTGACGACAGTTCAGGGAGGAACAGGTTCACCATGTGCTCCTTTTTGCACTTTAAAACACACAGACTTTGGAGGTAGTGCTCCATGCTGTTTAAACACAACCACACAACCTGTTGTTCTACAGAGAACTCACAATGCATTGTGTTGACTCTGGTGTGACTGAGGATGTGAGAGCAGGTTTGTCACATTTCAGTAAAGGAGTGTGAACCACTGGCTGGTTAGGCGGCCATTGGGTCACGTTTAGGCTAAGCCAGGAACATACTGATCCCTATGTTGGCAAATGACCTGGTTAAAAAAACAACACCGGAAGAAAAGACATTTAGATGAACTCTCTTCTTTGTAATGAAAGGTGAAGGATTTGTTTTATCTCTCAGTTAAAGCCACCATATGAATACAAGTTTGTGATATTTGAGGTTAAGTAGAGTCAACATGTTGGGTTGAATCTATCCGCTGCTATGAACCAAATCATTTTAAGGTCAATTTTCTTTGGACCAGATATAAAATATTGTCTTTGATGTTAGCATCCTTATTCCTGGGTTGCTGTAGGCCCTCGGCCTTTGTGCAAGCCGTGGTCTTGTTTGATGTAAAACAGAACAGCTGGAGGGCAGCGTACAGCTTTCCTCTAGAATCACTTTTATAACTTGATGGTTGAGTTTTGCTGACATCTAGTGGACAAACAATAACTGGCCTTAATGTGTGTGGTTGAAGATGTACTGTAAATGTTTTGCCTAATATGGGGGAGCAATAAAAACAATCTCATCATATTCCTTCAAGTATATAGACTTTTAAAAGGGTTTTAGGATTATGTCAATCAAACACAAAAGTATTTGACTTAATTGAAATTAATAATTGAACACCAATACTGTTTTTTTTCGTTGAAAATTTCTGTACAATTATGTTTGACTCTTGTATCTGAAAGGTTTATCTTTGGTGTCTGCTAACTACATAAATATTTGACATCACCTTAGACATGTCACTTTTTTTATTGCATTGACTGCAGGGTAATAAAATGACTTTCTGATATTTAAAAAGTGCTAAAGAAAAAGAGCATAGATTAATTCCCCAAGTAAGAAGACGTTCAAAAATAATTTCGTTTCATGACAGAATCTCCTCATAAAAGAAAATAAAAAGTCAGTGCCTACTGCCTACTACATTTCAGCTGAAACTGATATAACCGCTAGATGGCAGCATAATAAATACCATGCGTCGAATCTGTCATTCATTTCCAACATGAAGTAGAGCAGTCAGGTGCTGCCTTTCAGAGCATCGGAGAAATTCTAACTAAGGCGACAAAAAAAGTCAAACTAAATGGACAAAGTAGGTGTATATTTTTACTTTTTAATTGTCCATGAAAGTCACTGTCTCATAGCGTGGATAACCTTTTATTTAAAAGGATATCTGTAGAGAGCTATGTTTCATCATCGGGATTTTTAAATGTACATTAAACAGAACATAATATATTTTAAACGATACAAATATAGAAACAGTACAGGAAATCAGAAATCGGCTTCATATAGAGGAATTGCCTGCCTCAGTTTTAAGTTTGACGTGAAAACCCTATATCCCTTCGCTTGATAGTTTAAGAGCATTCAGGGCTTAAAAGAAATCCGACAGACTTGAACGCATCTCGTCCCAAACCCGGATGTTTTGTTTCACAATAGCTTTCTCAAGCTTTTAACAATGAGCCAGAGGAACAGAGACCATTTTAAAGATTCCCCTTTTATCGTATAAATGACTGTTTCTAGTAATTGTCAGCTTTTTAAACCAATAACCTAAAATATATTGCTAATTGGAGCAAACATGTCGCTATAAATGGAGTTTGAAACGAAGCTTTAGCCGCATTATGAGCATTGTTAGTTAGTTTCTTCTCTGAGGTTAATTTAGTTTTCTTCAGGATGCTCAGAGAGTTGTATCCCTTCGTGGAGGACAGCTTCAGTCGCTTCCCGTCGCAGAGTAACATTTACGGCCTGTGTCAGGCGGGAGAGCAGCAGCTGTTAGCGGCCACTCTCAAAGGGAAGGTGGTGTGTTTCAGGTACCAGGAGCTGCAGCACAAAACCAGACCTGTAGCCAAAGAGGTCCAGTTCACCTACATACCAGGTACTGACCGGGACACCTGCTGCACACAGTCACAACGATTTAAAGGACATTACATTGTAATACATTGTGTAAGGGTTAAAGGATACAGACTCAGGCAGTATGACTATAAAGTATCAGATTTATAATAATTACAGATTTTTTCCCTCAACTGTTTATAGGTTCTTGTTTAAATGTCACATATATTTTTTATCCCTGTACGGGTTATGGACATTTCTTGTATAAGTCTATTTTTAATTGCACAGTTTGATTCATCTAGAGGTATTCTTTAAATCTTTCTTCAGGTTAATATATATGAATGGGAGGGGGAGGTGTCAGTTTTGTGGTTTAATTTGTAACAAATGTTTCATGTCATGTCTTTGTAACCTGCTACTGGATGATTTGAATTTCCCTCGGGATCAATAAAGTATCTATCTATCTATCTATCTATCTATCTATCTATCTATCTATCTATCTATCTAATAAGACAAACGATTATAAAATAATTTCTAAACAATGTTTAAGAATTAAGAAGTGTCCATCATTTTACTAACTTGTACAACTGTGGTATCTAATCCAATCTGATTTAATCATATTTAGACCTCACATTTTAAATCATAACAGTACTAATAATTCATTTTAAACCTGCTCACAGCTCAGTGAGACTCCTTCTGACGCAGCACTAACATGAATATCTTCTGTCCTCCTTCTGAAGTATAACCCTGTTTACAACTGCAGCAGTCCCTAGTTTGTTAAAAAACTCAGAGATAATGTGTATGAAGGAATATGGAAGGTGAAGTTATCTAAATGTCATAATGGTTATTGAAAACAGTTTTATTTCTATTTAAATAAAGGGGTTTCAGTGTTTTAAAAATGTTCACATCCTGTTTTATTTACATTTAACACAGCGTTCAAACTTTTTGGGACATGGGAGATTGTACTTCATAGTCATTACAACATGTTTATTTTACACACACACACACACACACACACACACACACACACACACACACACACACACACACACACACACACACACTGCTATTATTAAAAACAATTATCAATCAACTCTCTTTTAAATAATGGAAAAACAACTATTCATGGTGCTATAACTGTGTAGCATAGCAAAGTGTTCAATCAGAGTTTCTGTTTGTAATTGAGAGTTAATAAAAGTAACTGTGTTGTCTTCTGTATAAGTTGGTTGATGCTTTAAAAATTAATTGTGTCTTCTTTCTCTAGTTGATGCAGAAATAGTTTCAATTGATTCCTTCAACAAGTCACCGCCCAACAGAGGTCTGGTGGTGGGCATCACATTTGTAAAGGTATTTGTATTTAACCCCAGAGGTCATGTGTATACTTCTATGTAATGCTCTCTTTAATTCATTTATTGAAAGTTTGTTAAATATATCTAAACTCCTGCAGGACTCTGGTGACAAAGCAACACCGTTCCTGAATATCTACTGTGACTACGAGCCGGGGTCGGAGTTCAACCTGGAGTCCATCGCACGTGAGTGAACTAAGAGTCCTGTGGCCCGTTGAACCATCTGTGTGAGATCTGTCTACAGTTGGGGTAAAGCTGACACTGAACACTATGATGAAACAAGTTAGTTAAGTTGTGTCGTTGTTTAGTTACACGGCGGGGATGTAAGGTTCATCTTAACGATCTTAACTGGTGGAGTGTGACGTCCAAAACTCCAAACTTACCAAAATATCATCTTAGAAATGATGTTTGAACTTTTTGTGAGCAGTCAGTGAAAAACAATTAGTGCAGTATTTGTTACAGTGATTCGTCTTGTGCCTCCTTCAAATGATGTCAATCTACAAACAGAAACAAAAATGTTTGAAAATATGACAAAGCATGAGGTGATAACCAAAGATACACAGGTAATCTACAGCCAGTGTAAAATAACAACAGTGACATCGGGCGGTGAACTCGTCAACTACAGATAAGGCAAGGCAAGTTTATTTCTATAGCACATTTCAACAACAAGGCAATTCAAAGTGCTTCACACAAGACATCAGAAAGCATCATGACAGAGGAAAGAAAAGAAACATTAAAATAGAACATTTAAAAATCACTGAAATTATTACACCTGAAAATATGTTCAAATAAAAATAATTCAAATGAAATTAATTTAAATAAAAAAAGAAAAGTAAAGAAATTAAAAGAATTAAAAAAAAACAATAATTACAGTGCAGAGTAAAAGTTTAAAATCTTTAAAACTGTTTAATGAAAGGCAGCTGTAAACAGATGTGTCTTCAACCTGGATTTAAAAGAGCTAAGAGTTTCAGCAGACCTGCAGTTTTCTGGGAGATAAGCTGCATTTCATGGTGCTGTATTCAGACAAAATCATCTCCACTCATGAAAAACCAAAGTGAAACCAAAGTCATCCAACATTGTTAAAGGACCCCCCCCAATTAGAAATGATGTTCCAGTTTGGTTACGTTTGAACTTATGCACAGCTGGTGCAACCCAGTGCTTATGTTTACAGTGCTCCCTCTAACACAGGGATGGGCAACTTTGGTCACAGTGAGGGCCACATTCATTTCATTCTGACTACCAGAGGGCCAAATTGTAGGATACAAAAATGATTCCTATCAATTATGTCTCAAATTTAACTCAACATATTCCAGTGATCAAATATTATTATGGACATATTTCTGGGTTTTATGATTTCATGGCAGATTTTGTCATGTTTTCTTCATGTTTCCAATTAATTGATGTGTAAAAATTGACCTGAGGGCCACGTTGAGGGTTGATGGGGGCCGCATGTGGCCCCCGGGCCGCCAGTTGCCCATCCCTGCTCTAACACACGTGTTTAAAATACTGATGTATGTTTTTGTTTCTGAACAGAGAGCTGCCTCAATCTGGAGCTGCAGTTCACACCCTTCCAGCTCTACCACACAGAGTGAGTGCTTTCATTAGTAAACTTCAGGGGTTCACCTTTTAGGTTTAGTGTCTGTTAGAGAAAGCTCCAGTTACCAACATGGACAGTGTGGAAGACATAAGCAGAGACACTGTGACATCAGCCATTGGTTTGTGATTTTATCTCACAGCAGGTATTTGTAATATGAGATTCTCTTGTTTGATATGCTCCTCTAAATCTATGTTGAAGCTGTTTCTACTACTTAAGGCTTTATGGGAGTTTTTCCTGAATGTGTGTTAGTGTTTCAGATTCTCAGTCAGAAGCTTCTGTACGGACAGAAAACATAACACAGTGTGAATATGAGCGACCTGTTCTCTCTCTGTCAGAGTTCAGTGTGACGATGGAGGCAGGGAGACGGTGTTTCTGCTCAGTGGACACGACCAGAGGATCCACCTGTACAAGGAGGTCAGATTAGTGTGTGTGTCTGTGTGTGTCTGTGTGTGTCTGTCTGTCTGTGTGTGTGTCTGTGTGTCTGTGTGTGTGTCTGTGTGTGTCTGTGAATTTCATCCTTTCCCCTGTTCCTGGTTTGAATCCTCTGTGTAGAGTTTGCATGTTCTCCCTGTGGGTTCTCTCCGGGTGCTCTGGCTTCCTCCCACAGTCAAGGTTAACTGGTCACTCTAAATTGCTTGTAATGTGAGTGTGGCTGCTTGTCTGTCTCTATATGTCAGCCCTGTGATTAAATGGCGACTAGTACAGACCAATACCCCGCCTCTCGCCCAGCTGGGATCAGCTTCAGCCCCGCACAGGAAAAGTGGTTTAGATAATGGATGGATGGATCCTTTCCCCTTATTTATCTGTATATGCAAATGGTAGCATATAAATTAATGAATAATCAACGAGTGTATGTGCATATTTATATTTTGTTTCCACTACATTTTCAGAGTTGTATTATGTATTTCATGCAAGTTACTCTTTCCATTATGTGTTTTAATTTCACCTATTCGTTTGTACTGTTTGAAAATATTTGCTCCTTAAATATGTCGTCTTTTTTCTGTTATAGAAATTGACAGTTAACAGTAAATATACCAACATGTAAAGTAAACTAGTAAATCTGTGTTTTCTTCTCTGTCATTTGTTGTTGAAGGATTTCTGTAAAAGTTTATTAAGAGGACAACACAAACCTGTTTTTATAATAAAAAACAATCTTACCTTAATTTAATCGATGTTCAGGAGCACTCCAAGATTCTTTCATTTTGTCAAATATTCATTTTGACCTTTTTAAAAAAAACATATAGTGCTGACTCTGAGCAGGACTTCTGTCACTGATGGTTTAAAAGTTCAAAGCTATAAAGAGCGCCGGTAGTCTAGTGGTTAGTGCTTGTGGCCCATGTATGGAGGCTCTAGTTCTCCAAGTGGGCGACCCGGGTTCAAATCCAACCTGTGGCTCCTTTCCTGCATATCATCCACCACTCTCTCTCTCTCCCTGATTTCTCACTCTTCCCTCTGTCCTATCTCTAAAGAAAGGCATAAAAAGCCCCCCTAAAAAAACCTTTTAAAAAAAGTTCAAAGCTACAGGAAAGTTTTTTTTTTTAGCAGGAGAGTTCAAATATGCTGGTAATAACTTTTTCATACCTGTGTTTGAAGGAGATTTTCTCTTTGATGTAACCTCAGAGCATTATTCAGCCTGACTCTCTTGTTTCTGACAGAACGCCTCCCTGCACCAGTTTGAAGAGCAGCCCGTGGAGAGACTCTTCCCTGAACTACAAGAACTGCCCAGCAAGTTCGTCTGACTCCCTTTGACCTTGTTGTCTCTTTCCTATTCTATCTCATATAAGAAGTAAATGTGTGGTAAACAAGTCTCAGGACTCTTCTGCTTCTTATAATGTTCTTTATTGTCACATCTCGAGTCACACATTCAACCAGTAAATCTGGTACATGCCCTCCCTCTCTGCAGTGTGCTGTGGCTGGATGTGTTGAGTATACCTAGCGGTCGACGACTCTCTGCGTTCGGCTGTCAGAACGGCTGCGTTGGACTGGCGCTGGTCGACCAGACAGGACCAGGTGAGGGGAAAGAATAAACACAGAGCGGGTTGTCTCTTGGTGTTTTGATGCATAACATAATCTTAGAAATGTCATTAAAATAGAAAGAAAGTTTGCAGCAGGAATCCAACATTGAAGGAGCTTTTGTAATCTTGAAACATTAAAAAAGCAGAGAAATTATGGACGATACATTTACATATGCAGAAGTTAACAGTAAGAAATATAAAGAAATGTCAAATGTACAGGGTTGCACACTGGTGCTTGCTGTTGCCTCACAGGGAGAAGGTTCCTGGTTTGAATCCTTGGTTGAACAGAGGCCTGTCTGTGTGGAGTCTGTTTGTTCTCCCCTTGTAGCCTGTCTTCTCTCCAGGTACACTGGTTTCTTCCCACAGTCCAAAGTCATGCTCATTAGGTTAATGAGTGGCTCTAAATTTCCCATAGGTGTAATTGTGAGTGTGTAGGGTTGTTTGTCTATAAGTCAGCTCTGTGATGGACCGCCTGGCGTCCAGGGCTGACCCCACCTGTTACTCCATGACAGCTGGGGTTGGCTGCCCCCAGAATGAGATAAGCAGTATAGATAATTTATGGATACATGTACAATTTACAGAGATACAAATCCAGATTATGTGCATCAATGAATCACATAAAAGTCAGACTCAGCATCGATGTGATATTTCTAGGGCCTTATTGATGCTGGCAGAAAGGAAAATATGACTTCTGGTTGTGATTGAAGGATGTTTTGTGTTTTTGTTATCAGAGGTTCTGCAAAGCTGGAGGTTCCAGTTTGACAGTCCGATCTCTTCAGTGCTGCTGTTCCCTCTGAGCTGCCAAACTGAGCCAGGCCAGTCCAGCAGAGAGAACAGTAGGTTATTGGTATCTCTGTTAGGATTGTGGATGTGCAGCATAGCTACTGTTTTGCCATGATTTGGATTTGGACTGATTGTCTGTTTCTTTTCTTTTTTTAAGGTGTGGAGCTGAAGAGCTACAACCTTCTGGTAACAAGTGCTATCGAGATGGCCGTCGTCTACAGGTCAGAACCAGAGACAAGTCTATAAAGATAACGGTGAAATGATCCTTTGGTTTGGTGTATTTTCATTCAGACCTTCTCTCTGTGGTTGAGAAAATGCCTGCTCTCAGTGTGGTGTGTTTTTTGTGTTTGCTCAGAGACGTGCAGGATCGAGGTTTGTCGCGTCCCGTATGCCTCTCAGAGAGCGATCAGTGGGACGCCGTGCTCTGTGCTCTGGTCATCGATCTGGATTTTGATGGTCAGAAGGAGGTGCTGTTGGGAACATACGGGCAGGTCAGAGCTCCTCCTTACTGCAACACTTTATTCATATAAACCAAAACATACAGCTGCTGATCCTATACTTAGATAAATCTAGACAATATGTCATTATGCTCTCGATTCTCTGTTATTGGTCAAAATATCTCTCTCTCCCTCTCTCCCTCTCTCTCTCTCTCTTTCTCTTTCTCTCTCTCCCTCTCTCTCTCTTTCTCTCTCTCTCTCTCCCTCTCTCTCTCTCTCTCTCTCTCTCTCTCTGTCTCTGTCAATTCAAAAGAGCTTTATTGGCATGATAGATCAGCAATTCATGTTGCCAAAGCAGTAAAGAAAAATTATGATCAACAAATTATTACTCAAATATATACAATATGAAAATACAATAAACAACATTAACAATAACGATGGGTCATTTTTAGGGTGTAATTACTGAGAAACATTAAGTGTAGTTTGTGTTCATTTGTGACAAACATCAACGTGTTTTGCAGCTCGTACTGCACACAGACTTTTCTCCCCACATAGAGAGGGGAGCTCCTGTGGATCAAGGAGATGGCTAAACTCTGGATATATAGCATTAATCTGATCAAAGAAAGCCTCTCTCAAATATATATATCTGTTACAGTATAGTAGAGAGTGTGATTCTGTCTCGTCTTGTTCTTGACATCTCACTGATGTCATCAGGATGAGATTGATGACATCCTGATCTCTCTCTCTCTCTCTCTCTCTCTCTCTCTCTCTCTCTCTCTCTCTCTCTCTCTTTTTAAAGACTCAGTCATTTTCTTCTGGACATGAATGTTCTACTCTTTGTCACACCACTCAAACAGGAAGAAACAGCAGATTTGTAAAGAAGCTTCATATTGTTTTACTGATGAATATTTATTATAAAAGAGTCCCATGACAGGGGCTTGACAAATCAGGTTTGAACAAAGCATGTGTGTTCTTGTTTCTAAAAGTTTATAACGATTCAAACTGAAACAAGGTCTGCAGTGTTTTAATATTCTCAGGTTAATGGACTCTCAAAGGGGAGTGGTGCGGTTTCTGGGTGTAAACGTACAGAAACTTATCTAATTCAAAACGTCCACCTATTGATTGATTGATTTTATTATTGTGTCATGCATAAAGAATATGCCCAGTCCAAAACAGACTTACAGGACACCATTATTAATACACAGAGACCAAAAGAAGAAACTTATTAATAATAATATTAACAGAAGAAAACATCCAGATGTTTCTTCCACGCTCCAGAGACAAACATGGCCAACTTATAAACATTGAGATCTTTGTCAATTACATCATCATCATTGATCCAGAACATTTCATTAATCAAATGAGTTCTTAAGTCATCATTAAAAACACAGTACAAAGAAAATGAGATGCATTCTCCACTTCTCCTAAACCACACAGTTCACACAGACTAAGTTCCTCCGGGATGTTTTTAAATCTGCCAACTTCAAGAGTGAGAGGAGGGATTCCTGTTCTTAACTGAGCGACCAAAGATGTCTGACTTCTTGATAAGTTCGCATTAACATAGGATGTAGTTTTAATCAAGCAGCCACACAGTGAGTGTGAGATTAAAGAAAACATAAAGTAGTGTTTATATCAACGGCAATAAACGGACAAGTCACACAGTTCAACAGTGTGGCTCAATTATGTGGTTTTAATAGTTTGGGGACAACAATGGAGCTCTGTGGCTCTGCACTGCATCACATCTGAGTCTTTAGATTGTGAACATTTAAGAATATCAGCAGACTTTATGAACTAAAACGTTGTTAACAAAGGTACAGAGCAAGAGAATATGATGAAACATAACAAAGACAAACACTGCATTTCAGATCTAAATGGTTTTTCAGTTCATTTTGGTACAGAAGGCACCGCTACAAACTTCTCTCTTTGCAGCCAATAAACATATTGGGAGGTACAACCTTGAAATGTAACCTCCTTACCGATACATCCATCAGAGTCTGTCAGAAAACATTTAAAAAAGCTTTCCTTAGAGATACAAAATACCATCCACCTGCGGCTCACTTCATGTGATGCATCTTCTGCTGCAGAGGATTGTGGGTCAGGATGAACACTAAAGCATGCAGGTTTACCAACTGCAAAATGTGACCAGGTGTTGAAGGGCATCCTGGTATTTCTGTTGTACTGCGTGTTACTGTAAAGAGATATAATGAGTATCTGAAACTGTGTAGAACTTAATGAAAGAATCTTAATGCTGATATTCTCGCCGTTGTTTCTGCCTTGCAGGAGCTTCTCTGTTATAAATTCCAGCCGGCAGGGAGCAGAGGAGACGGACAGTTTCAGCTGCAGTGGAGGCGGAGCTTCAAGAGTCCTCTGCTGTCCGTCATCTACTTAGACCTGACGGGGGACGGACTGAGGGAGCTGGCTGTCCTTACATTGAAGGGTCTGCACATCTTACAGGTACGTAGCAGGAAGCTATATACGACTGAATTACTATTTCTAATAATAATAAAAGAGAAATGACAGCTTTGTGAGTCAGTTCCGCTCTGCTGTTGATCTTACTGTTGTTCTGTATTTCAGTTCAATAGATGGCTCGTATGCTTTATAATTCAACTCAAAACATCCTCTTTAAGTGGTAAAGGTACTACTACAGAATTATGTTTGTACTGACCTCTACTGGCTACTGGAAAAAAAAAGCAGCAGGATGATTAAACAGATTTTAGAGGCCCTCTGCCTGCTCCCTCTGCTCCCTTTACTGCATCTGTAGTGGCCTGTAACTTTCAGAAACATTTAATTTCACACAAGGACAATATAAGTTTAAGAATTAAAAGAGATCTAGCATCAGATCTAATGACCACATCATGACATACTATAATATGTTTATTTGTTAGTGCAAGTGATTTGTCATTCAAATTCTTTCCACAAAGTTTTTTGGAGACATGTTTTTCAGGTCTAAGGAAGCTTTGACATCCTGGGAGAAAAAAGCATTCTGATGATGAGTTTTCCCGGTCTGATCTGGGTTCTTTTCTCTCCTGTGTTTTTGGCTCAAAACTGAAATGAAGAAATATTGTAGCTGTCAATAATGTGTTTAAGTTGATGCAATCCTCATTTAGACAGCTTAAGTTTAGCACCGCCACATGACAGAGATAGGGCTAAAAGAATTAAAGTTTTCTTCCTGGTGAGTATTTATTTATAAACTCTAAACCAGGGATGTTCTTTGATTACTGAAGTCCTTGTTGGTTAAACAGAAATTTGAATTAAACTAACCGACTAGTCTAAGAAAACACTCAGGAAACAGGGAACATTAAGCACAGTGTATTAACAGTTGTCTGCAGGTAAACAATGTAATTTAGTTTGCTGAGCGGGGCTAACGTTAGCAGTGCTAGCACCGCCAGCCTTCAGTCCTCCCTCAACATTCCCGTTCTTAATGTGGTCACACATTACTCCGGTCGATATGCCACTTTAACTTAACTTTAACTTAAACTTTCTATATCAAATACTGCCAAACCGGTTTGCTGCTCCTATGAGATGTTACCTGTTCACTGTGCTTGTTTACATCCAGGTGATAGAGAGGGGAGAGAAGGCTCGTTAACTGGAGCTACAGGTAGTCTATGGCTACAGCCCTGGATAGCAGGGGGCGGGCAACATTTAAAAACATTAATAATTTGTTTAACAGACTAGTTATTATTCTGACTAGCGAGGGTGATGACGTAACACGTCCTTACTCTTAACACAAGGTATCTACATAATATATTGTGTGTTAGCATGTTATCTGACATTACTGTCATGTCTCTCTTTTTTGTATTCAGTCGAGTTTAAAAAGAAAAGACCTGATGGTAAAGTCATGATAGTATTTTTAGATAATGTGGAGTATATCTAGTATTTATAGGACGAAAAGAGAAACTTATAGGAATTATGAAGAGAAAATAAAGACTTTTTTCTTCCACCTGTTCAATAGACAAAAACAATAAAGTATATTTTAAATAATATGCTGGCAAAAACTTTTTTCTTCTTGTCTGCAAGTCATAAACACAGGAGAGAAAATAACTTGTACCAGACTCAGACAGTTGATCTCTAGATGTCTCCAGACTGAATTCATTATCTGATATTGAAGATTACATCACTTCAGCTTTGTCACCTTTTTTGTCCAATAACACCCCAAAAAAAGACCCAACGAAGACGCCTGCTAAATAATCTCTGAAGTGAAAAGATATGTTCATTTCTTTTGTTCTGACCTTTCAGCACTCGCTCACCATCACGGCTGATTTGGTCCTGGAGCGGCTCGCCTGCAGGTTGTCTGTGCTGACAGTCGGCTCTGAGCAGGACTCGACTAAAGCTGGAGACGCTGAGGAGAAGGACGCTGCAGCGGAGACAGAGACGTGTACAGATCCAACGACGTCTAATTAAGAACGTGATGTTTACATGAGGCGGTCCCAGTGGATCAGACTGAGCTGTTATATCTCCAGGTGTGATGTGAAGGATCGTCTCAGGATGAACACTTGAATGTGATCGTGATGACGGACACTAGTTTTTACACTGAATGTCAGATTGACCTTTGTCATCATGAACACGTGTTCTGTGAAGAGCTCACATGATCCTCTGATGAGCTGTAGATTGTGTTCAGACATTTCTAGAGAAAAACGATAAAAGTTGCTGACTATGCTTATTTTCTTGTTTGTTGTGTATTTACTGTGTTTAACTGAGCTCTTTGTATCATTAGATTTAAAATTGACCTCATATTTATATTCTCCATATAAACAATATTCACTTTATAAATCAACAACAAAAAGACACTAAACACAAAGAATAAAACAAAAAGAAAGATGAAAAAAAGCATGACTTTTAACCCACACACATGAAACCCACCATGCATCGCATATATACATTTTAAAAACTCTATCATGTACACCAAACTTTTCTCTTTCAGCGACTGAACCTCCCCCGACAAAGACATCAGTTAGTTTATTAGTAATGTTCTCTGTGACATTTCTTCCCATCTGTCTTTTCTGCTTGCAAACAAAAATAAGGAGAACAGGAAATATCAAAAGGAAACATGCTGACACAAATATTCTTCAGTATGAAGGAGTGAGGGGAATGTGTAGATTTCCAATGTTTCAAAGAAATGTCTTGATAGCCTCTGATCACCAGAGCTCTATTTCAAAACAAACGTTCTAAGTTTTAAAAGGGCTGCAAAATGTGTGAAAGAGAATCTGTAATTTCACATTTCAAACCATTCCCTCTAAATGATTTCATCGTACTTCTATTTTTCTCTAGAAATATATATTTTTTATATTTTTGAGGAAAGTGATGTGTTTGACATCAAACAGTAGAGACTTGTTCACCAGAGTTGGAGGGATGAGCAACCATGGCAACAAGTTAGAGCTGGGGGCAACAGATGCTAATAGTCTTTTTTTTTTTAAGATTTAAAAAGCACTTATCAAACAAAAAGGCAGCACCAAAGAGCTTTAAAGACACACAGGCAAAAGTACAAGAATAAAAAAAGAATTAGAAAAAGCAAACAGGGAGGAGAACACCAACATCAAAACAATGACTTGAGCAATGTAAAGCACAAAGAATATCATGTTTACAATAGTTTATACCAAAGACTGTATATTCAGATGGATGGAGCAAGAGCCGCCTGGGAATTAAGCCAAATGATGTAGAGCTCCCCCTGCTGACTGGCTGCAGTACATGTCATAAACCCCGCCTCCTCCATGATGAGACAAAATGCACGTCAAAATGTTATTTTTCCAAACCCGATGCTGTCATTACAGTCAGTACATTTTATGATTATTTATGTCCAAGTGTTTATTTTTCAAGATTTTACAAACGCTTCTACTTGTATCTTTGCTTTAAGATTTTTAATTTTGGGTCTTTTTATGCATTTATTTGAAAGACAGGGCAGTGGATTGAGTCAATGAGAGAGAGAGTGGGGAATGCCCTGTGGGAAAGAAGCCACAGGTCTGATATGAAGACTACAGCCTCTGTACATGGGTTGCTCGAACTAACCACTAGGCCAATGCAACCCCTTCTAGCGTTTTTAGAACATACATACAGCAGCTCCACCAGTCTTTTATTTCTTAGACTCTCGCTTCTAATGAACAATATTATAGCCCCCACCTCGAGTTTATTTTGTCTTCACTTTTGTACAACGGCAGGAGATGGAAACATGTCGTCCATATCTATATACTTTCAATGGTTTTACCATAGACTCTATAAAACATGAGCGCAGTCTCAGTGACATCACTAACTGGTTTCTAAAGTGGTCAGTGGAGGTCGCCATTGGAAATGCTGTCTCAACCAAACTTTGGGTAAAAGGGAGCGAGATGGAGCTGAGGCGGGCTCTTCACCTGGCAAACAGCTACACCCACCTGTCTGTCAATCAAGCCACGCCCCTAATTATGCATGACTTATCCTACATCATCCAAACAGATACATTTTTTAATCACCCCCCTCTGTACAGTGAGTGCCAATAAAGAAATAGAAAAATGCAACAACGACACAACCATTTATTTTGATGACTAATTATACATTTACATAAGAAGAACATGAAGTAGATACTGAACACAGGCTTTTCTCATAGCTTTACTCACAACACTTTTACCTGAGGTGTTGATTTGTTTTGCGCCAATTCATAACAGAGGTTATCTCAAGACACTTCACAAAAGAGCAGGTAAAAGATCTTAATCATTGTTATATTCATGAGTTATTTCTGGATGTATCAAACACTTTTGTAGCACACATAATCAGGTCTGTAGTTCTTGTTGAGTTTCCTCTGAATAGATAATGGATCATCAGGTAAAGTCAGGTTATTCTATCATTTATACATTGATGGATATGCATCAAATTAGCTGAATTACCGGGATATTAAACCTTTATCTCAGACCCACGTTAGCTCAGCCTCTCTGAAAGCAGGAGATTATCTTTTGTTATAAAAAAGAAAGAACAAAATGAAATAATAATCCTGTGACATAAATACTTTTCAATAGTGAGATCCAGCTGACTCTATTCATAAAATAGTATAAAAAGTCAGTTAATGATTACTGAATGACTTACTGTTTTTGCTTTGAAACTTATGAAAGTATAATCACAAAAGTAATAATACAAGCACAATAATACTGTTATATAAATATACTTATATACAATCCTGCTCACTAGAATGATTTAAGTACCTTTCAGTTAATATTCCTCAAATGATGGTCTACAAATCAACTTAAGTCATTTAGAAAAGTGACATTTTCTTCTTCTGATTATTCAATGCTGTAGCCTATACTTCATTGTTTAAAAAAAAAAACTTAAGTTAAGTATTGTTATTGGGATACTATTCATGTATTTTTTTAAGTGGAAAATTAAACCAAACTAAAACAGAAATGTAAGAAACATTGAGGGAAACGTTTGGGGGTAAAAAAAAAAAAAAAAAATAGGCAACAATTAAAAAATAAGCTGTTCTTTATTGAGATAATCCTCTTTCTTGTTAAAAGTGCCTCCTCATAGTTAATTCTCATCAGGTGGATCTTGTCTTGGCCTCGTCTTCGGCCGGTCAGTGGCACTGTGGTCCTCCGTCAGATCTCCAACTATATTTCTGCCCTCTTCACTACAAAGGAACAATAACAACAGCTGCTCCGAGCACACTGAGGACTCTCTGAGACATGACGCGGAGATGACTTTAAAAGAAAGCTGTCCTCCCTCTCCTTCCCCTCCGCTGAAGCTGTTGCACTTGTTTTTAATGGCTGATCCTCTCTTTTTTTGCGCGTCAACAATGAGGAGCATGCTGCTGCCGGAGCGACGCTGAAGCGCGTATCACCAGAGCGTTTCACTCAATGGGCTTTTTATATTTAGCTCTGTGAGTGAGCGGAAAGAGGAGACCCTGATCCCGGTGTTGTCTGACATTTTGATCCCTTTGAGACCGTCTCGAGCCCCCCAAAACTTGTCGTCCATCTCGCGGAGCGCGTTATCAGGCTATGTGGTGGTGAGGAGGGCGCTGTGTGTGTGTGTGAGTGTGTGAGTGTGTGTGTGAGAGAGAGGAGGAATAGCGCAAATCTATCTACACCTCCGTGGGAAAAAGATGATGATGGCCGGTGGTGGCGGAGCAGCCGTGGACCATAACGGGATCTACTCAAATCCGAACCTGCTAAACCTGCAGCAGCCCCTCATGGAGGCGGATAATCCAGAAACCCGCAAACGACCGCTGGAAACTCCGGCGGAGGAGGCCGGCTGTACCAAACGCACCAACATTGGAGGTAAGAGACACTCTGAAGACGCAGCACATGCACCCTGTCTCTTCTACATGAAGTCGAAGCTGTTGTTGGAGAAGCCTTTGCATGCGCTCGCTGGAGTATAAAAGCAAATTCACCGCCTTGAGTCCCCCCCCTCAGTTTAATGCAAAGAAAGTCCATGCGGCATGGAGGCAGATTTTGGCTGCACATTAGGCTGTAACACGCAGCACCTGTGCAGTTGGCACTTAGAAACACTGAACGTGTTTATAGCTGTTACTTCATATCCCAGCAGGGAAAGTGACTGAGTGTCTGAGTAAGTGAGAGAGTGGCCTCCTCCGCTCAGGTCAGCTCAGAATTTGACCCATATCACTCGTTTCATCTACATCTGGAGACGTACTATAGTAAGTCAAACGTGGTTTGTTTGCAGATGCTTCAATATGAAAAAAAGGAAAGTGTTCACAGGTCTTATCGGTGTTGTTGTGCTTTAAGTCTGACACAAAAGGATTCCCTGATGCTTCCCCGTGCAGAGGCCAAAGATATATCAGCATCTTTTCCTGAGAAACACTGTGCCAGGGGGGCTCGCTGACAGATAACAGGACAGGGAACCGCAGAAAGGGAGAATATATTATAGAAATATCATTGCGCATATTTTTTGTTAAAGATTGTATCAACATCTTGTGACGATGTTGTAAAAACCAAACATCCAGAGGCTCCTGTTAAGTATGGACCCTGTTGTTCAGGAATCACTGACCAACCCCAGTGACACCTTAATGACCTCATAACCTTAGATGTAAGAGGTGAATACTGACTCTGATTTTAGAGCAGATATATATTGAGCTTTTGGAAATACCTTCTCTATGAGTATTGTGCACAAATGTTTCAATCATTTTGCAAAGCTCATACTTAGTCTCAAATCTGCTTTTAAGGAAGAAACAAACTATATGGTGGCCACTATAGTGATTTAGAAAAATTGAATGAAAATAGACCATCCTTATTTGTATTTTGCTCTGATATGATTGGGCAAACTGTAAAACATGTGTAGTGCAGACTGCCATCTGCTCAGCTGTGATGCTTTGCTACATGTGCTGCAGACAGTGCTGAGAGTATCAACACTCTGCTCTGGACAAACAATGTGATGACATTATTTAATCACTCCAAACTTGCTGCATGTGTTCTGTAAAAGAAATAAAACGTAGACACACGTACCCATTTAACTATGATGGCTTTGTGTTTGCTTGTAATATCATCTTAACAACACATCAGTTAAATACCACCCAGACAAGAAATATCAGAAACATGTGTTTACTGCAGATATATGAAATTCAGTGTCAGGGGTTTAGGATACTTAAGTTAGACATTTCTTGTAATTTGGAGTTAGTACATGTTTTTTTTAAACACATATACAGAGGTGAACGAGTTAGAAATCATACAACTCTGTCTAACAAGTAGGGTACACACTGATCACCACTTGCAGCCTAGATTCCTATCAAAGTGATGTTATTTATAGAGTTCATGGTCAGCCAAATCTCAGCATCTGTTTGGTATTTTTATTTTTTTGTTAGGCGGTCAGGATACCCCCTGTAGCAGCATCTAGAAAGTAATACAATGCAAATTCAAAACACACAATTTCTCAACAGGCAGATCTAGGAGGCAGATGTTTAAATGTTATTATGTTTGATTTGAAAAGTGGTTGTTTCCATCCAGCCCTGCATTTAAACAAAAGTCTAAAGTAAGATTTCAATTGAAGGATTACATTTAGTCACAGACACAAAGCGGACGATCAGGAGGTAAAGAAATACAACTGTGAAACACTGCAGCGCCATTTTATAAATCCCACATTTCTTTGACTGTAAGAAGGATAAGTGGTATCCAGTGATCATGGGAGGTGTGTGAACATTTGCTTTATAGCTCATCAGTGTGCTGTCGGGGTGCAGCAGTGAAGATGACAGCTGATTCAGTGTATCAGCTTCTCTACATCTTATTTCCTGTCATTGTTACGGTCTGCAGCTCAGAGGGACCACTTATTTTGGAGCTTAATGTTAATTAGACGTCCGCAGAGAACACGCCGTTTTCTTCACCATATGCTACTGAAAATTGTCTGTCTTTGTGTCCCAGTCATTCGATGATAGCAGCATCCCATTTCTAATAGCACCAGCGTGTCTCTGCTGCAACTCAGAAAAGTAATTTCAGCAAGACTCATAAGGACCCTTGTGCCACAAGATGATATTTTAGTGCAGATTCAGCCCCCGTATGTCCTCCATTAGCACCCTGTAAACCTCTGAAGAACAGAGATGATGAGAGACCGTTCAGCTGTAGCACAGAGACTTAACTGTTATCATCCCATCCAGCATCCAGGCCATATGAAGGACTAGACAAGTGGAAAATTGCATTAAGAAATCTTAATGAATACTGGAAATCAGAATTTGAACTCAGCCTTTAAGAAAATGTCAATAACTGTTGAGGTCAGCAATTCATGTTTTGAGATCCTCTTTGGTTGTCAAAAACATTTTTGCATCACATTCTACATGCAAAGATTTTATTTTCTTACTCAATCTGATTTTTGTTTTCTATGTGAAAAGTAGTGCCAAGATAATGAGCTCAACAGGGACTGTGATAATCACACATCCAGATCCTGCTGCTCTGATTGAAAAAAAAAAAAAGATTACAAATCTTAATATATGGTTTTGCCTACAGTTGCAGAATTGATCATATATTGATGCTTTACTCTGTATCTGGAATGATATTGTACGTAGGATACTTGCTAATGCACAGCCTTAAATCATTTTACTGCTTGCATCACTGTAATGAATAACATTTTACAAGCTTGACTCCATGTTCTTCTAAGGATACTTCTCGACTACGGGGCCGCACAATTAAATGTGTCCTGATGATGGATTAACTCTGAAGTTCAGGCCTTTTTCTCTCAGAGGCTTCTTTAACAAGATCTTCTCTGTATAGAATACCTGATCACTTCATCACTAAAAATAAAACCCTATGGGCATTACCTGATCCCCTGATGCCTCTTTTATAGAAACTATGTTGTCATATGGAAGTCATGCTCCAGGTTAGGGCTGGGCGATATGACCTCATATCAATATCACGATTAATTGAACATTTTACCTCGATTACGATTAATGAACGATTATTTGTTTTTTGCCCTCATAATTCACTGACCTGATCTCTACTGTAAATATACTCAACTAAAGCTGGGATCTCTGAATGCATATCTGATTAACTATTTTGTGGTTATTTATTGAATATTTCAAACTGAAATCAAAGCATCGCTTGAAATGAAAACAACACATTTTAGTTTTAAAGTAGAAATCAATTTCTCTAAAACAGTAGAAAATAAAGTGTTTACATTCGACTCCTTTTTGTTCGGTGTCGTCTTCCCTAAAGACAAAATGTGTCCAAACGACGGACACTGCTTCCATGTCGCAGATTGGACGTGTTGTCATGTGACTGCCCTGAAAATAGAAACAATCGACATAGTAAACAGCATGTGATTTACTCAACAAACATGAGCATGTAAGGACAAATGTCACGTTAGGAATCATTCTAACGGGACATATACAAGAATATATTAGAATATTTTTGTAGGTTCCTCTTAGAGAAGATGTTTAATTGTTGATAATTTGCAAAGGGAGCAACGTGTTTTTTACTGCTGACCTGAAAGTGTCAAAATGTATGAAAATGCTGCCTCAGAGCAACTATTGCAATCCAAACTAAAGAGCCGACAGTAACTGTTGCTGAACTGATCCAGGCAGCTTCATTCAATTACTAAATTAGTGTTTTTAATGTGTAAACATAATTGAATGTGTAGTCTGACCTGAAGAATTGATCCCAGCAGCTAACATGTTCACTCCTGATGTGTAATTAAACTTTACAGCCGTTTATGTTTCTCCAAAATGACTAAAATGTGTTTAACTTTATGTGAACAGACCTCCGGCCTCCACATCTTTGTCTTATAATCCTGTTTAAAGTCAACTTAATACCACATCAGCTAGAAAACAATATTTAGGAAGTTAAAGTTTCAGGGAGTAAATTTATTTCTAATTTCAGATTCAAGTATCAAGACGCTTTTTTCACTCTGCTCGTAAAAATATCTCAAAATATTTTATGTTTCTATATCCGTAATTGTTTAACATATATCACAGATATCACCCATGTGTACAATACTGACACAAAGTGGATCAGATTGAGCCTAATGTGCAAAACTCCTCGAATATCTACACTGTTCAGCACTGCGCATCTATATTTGTAAATTATTCAATTCCCTGTGCTTGTACATAGCTTTTTATTTCTTAGTATACTCTGCGCTTTGGTAGATATTTCTGCTTATTCTATTTCTATTTTATTCAATATATATTTCCATATTTCCTACTTCTATATAAGAGCAAACATAACAACCACATTTTCCCCTCTGATTAATGAAGTATTTCTGATTCTGATAGAAACCTGATTTGTGATTTTAAATGTATGATACACTTTCAACACTTTCATTACATTAAAGCCACATTTATTTGGATTCTGGGTGTATAAAGACTCTTTGAAACTAGACATCCTAATAAGCACAGATACCACAGCATGCTCTGACAGACCCCCTTCTATTGCAGAATCCTAAGGGTTACCGCATTGTATTCCCCGTTCAATGTTACATTTCTATGGTGCGATGTAGCCTACAGCATTGCCTCTAATGTGTTAGCATATGCAGCAGTCATAGAGGTGACATGGCAGTAAACGTTCTGGTCATTCTGATAAGTTCATTGATTTCATAGAAAACGCTGGTTGTTGCAGTTCATTTGGAGCAAAGTCCCGCAGGCTGGGCTACACAAAACAGATGCCTCTGAAATATTGCTATCTCGGCGCTGTATGTAATATATTTTAGCATCACCCCACACCATGTAATCTGCATGCATTAATTGTAACGTTGCAAATTCACAGCCTGTCTAGCGGTGTTGGTAGACAGCCTGATAATCGTCAGCCATCCCTGTAATCAGCAGCCCTCCACCATGTCTGATATTGATCACGTTATTCCTCCAGAACTGATCATTAACGTGACTGGCAGTTACAACAAAGAGAAGAAAGCCTGTGCGCTCTCAAAGCTGAGCCCCCCTCGTTGTGCATTAAGAGCTGTGGACACTGAATGAGGAAAATTACTCTTCTTTTATCACCGCTGCCCCTTCTCTCCTCAAAATGAACATCTTTCATTCATTTTCTCTTTCTAATTACCCAAACTCTGAGCCCATGTTTTCTGGCAAGCATGTGCCTCCCAAAAGGTTGTGAGGCTGAGGGATTAGGTATGATCTCGTAATGTTGCTAATGGAAAGGTTGGCACAGGAATGTGAGCTGTATTTTTTTTTTTTATTTATTTATTTTTGGTGGGAAGGACACAGGTGCCCTTGCAGAGCGGTGTGACGTGAGTGGACTGTGAATTTGCCAGGTGGCAGTGAAAGAGAGAGAACGAGCGATAGAAAACGAAGACAGAGCAAAGCGGGGAGAAGAGGAGAGAGAGAGAGATAGACTGGGAGAGGGAGTGGAGTCTACAGGGAGGCTGTGTCTATAGACCAGAGCATCTCTCGCTGACTGAGACGGGAGAATTTTCTGGATGAAATTCACTCCCACAGACCAAACTGGCCATGATTTTAAGGGTTTGATTTGTGGATGAAACTGATCAGCAGCCAGGAAAGGAAAGTGTCTATTTTTTACAGCTCTATTTAATGATGCTGGACCCCCCTCCTGTCAACACACACAAACACACACACACACACACAATCAGTTTTTACACACACATTGAGTCACTTAAGATACCTCTCGGTGTAAGATTTATAGTCGTAGTGATTGGCTTCATCACCCCCCTCCACCATTCTGCGGCACTGCCATTTGCAATGGTTGATGAGCCCCTCCGCCCTCTCAAACATGGCCGTCTAAGGGATTGGGGGTGGGGGAAAGGAGTAAAAAGGAGGGTGGGTGGCGTAAGGCACGCTGTCTCGGATCACTCCACCTCCTCCATCATCTGCTCATGCTATCCCTACACCGCTTTCAGCCGCCGCTGAAGGTCACTCTTCAAGCTTCCTCGTTCACGTTCTGAATCCCGCTCCCCCAAAGCCTCTTCACCTATGTCACTTTCCGCTAAAAAAAGTGAGTGAATGGGCTCCCATACTTTATAGTGCTGCGTCAAAAGAGGCGGAGTGGAGGAAGAGGATTCAATTTTTTTGGGCCCGGCATCAGGGGGTGGGGACGTGACGCGGTGGAGGGAAGGAGGCCACCCATTGGCCGAGCGAGGCGTCAGTCCTGCGCGCTGCTGCAGACGGACAGGCCACTCGATGAATATGGATGAGAGCAGTGAAAAGGGTGATGCGGCAGGGAAGACCCCCCCCTTCCTTCAAACCGATGCAGGCTTGAACAATGCGTGCCGTCTTTCACTGAAAACACTGAGAGCCTGCATTAGCATTTTCTCAGACAATTGAGGCTCTGGCCAGCTGCAGGCATGGCTCGGATGCTGCGGTGAAATCTATTTCTCCTGCACCCACTGATGAATTAGACCTCGGTGAAAAAAGTCGACCGGCCGCATTCCTCAACACTACCACTGCACCTATGCCGAGGCTAATGTTAAGATCCCCTTTAGAGATTGTGCCCCGGCATTGATGGCGATCTGACAGAGGACTTGAGCAGCAGCAGATCTCAGAATGGGTAAGCCCTCGAAAACTCTTTTTTGTTCTGACTTGTTGAATTTATCCTTCATTCATTTTATCCTCACACACGTACATCTAATTTTTTTGCTCATTTTTTTTGTTCCATCGTCCTTGCCGCCTGTCAGCAGCAGGTTAGTCCATTGAAATGCAGGATGGGTACTCGCAGGGGTAGTGAGAAGGAGGGGAGGACGGTCACAAGGCATTTCTTCCTGACCCACCCCCCTCGAGTGACTTAACTAAACACATTTGGCTCAGCGTCCGTGTCTCTGCTCCAAAGCCATCCCTTCCAGTCTTGGAAGGCAGGGGTTTGAACTAGCACCCCACTGGCTCTGCTTCCCAACGTGCCCCACTGCTCCCGATCCCTGGCGGATTGCAGCAACAGATTGCCATGTTTACTCTACCACATGACGCCATTTAAACCTGTTACTGTGATCTCAGACACTAGGACGGAATTAATTATTGACTAATGACAGCAAACGTGGCTGCGAGGGCCATGAAAGGGATCTTCCTCTTCCCAGTTGGGTTTTTACTCCGGTTCAAGAACGAGCAGAAAGTTACGCAGTGGGTTTTGGCTTGTCCGTCAACAACAGGTCCTTGAATGTTTGGGATTGTGCGGTCATTCAAATTAAAGTCTCCGTGTGGGGCTACGATATCAGATGTTCCGCGATAGAAAACGTGGGCTGAAAAGCTTTTTCGACACTCATGTCAGACATGCATGATCTTTATTTTTCCACCAAGGTCATTTTATTCTGATTCGTTGTGTGGAAAGCAGAGATCTGACTGGGATAAAGCATAAAAATCTAAAGACGGGAGAAAGGTTTAGTGATGGAAAACAGTGGTTACAAGATATCTTTGTAAAGGATTATGTCCTATTGTCTGAAAAATGAGCAGCACCTGACGTATTTACTATCATTATAGTGCTTCCAGGTAAATATTGGTACAGTTCAGCAATATGGGTTTTCTCAATGGTTAATTAATCCAAATTAAAAGTGATTCTCAGTGAGAGTCATGTCATTGTTCATATATATTTGTCAGAGCCATTGCACGCCAAACAAGCATTGTGTCTGAATGGAACATGAGGGGCATATTAATGCAATAAGGAGAGGAGCAAACATCTGGGCTGTGAAATCCCTTAATGTCACAGTGCCATGTTCATTCACATCTGAGTCTAATGAGTGCATTACTGAGGCAACAGGTTGGTCTCAGTGCAGGGCGGTCCACCTCCATCCATCCATCCATACATCCATCCATCCGTCCAATTTTCCTCCACCACCAAACATGCCGGTCAAGCCCCCCCTGCATCGATACCCTCCAAGGACCACAAGATGCAGCAACACAGTGACAGAACATCTGCATCGTTCTCCACTTGTACTAGAAATCCACAAAGATGGACAGTGCTCTTTTTTACATCCCTGTCCGCTGTAGTGACGTCACCTTTTGAGGCAGCTGAAAAGAAATCGAACATGACGTCATTGCATCGATATCAGCATGCAGAGGAGAGCACTACGATTGCACCTGTACGGAGTGTTTACCATTACGTCATCGATACAATATTTGGCATTCAGTGGGGATCCACAGCTGCACCACATTTATAAATACCATATTTTAGTTATTTGATAGTATGCAGGTCCAAGCTCAATATGTGGTTGATTGCTTCTTACTCGATTAGTGCACTCAATGTAATTTACTTGGGCTGATACTTTACCTACTTCTGGACTTATTATAAATTAGCATTGTAGAAAAGGGGACATTTCCAACTCAATGAGGAAACATGTTCGGCTGCAAATTGTTCAAACTGATGTGCTGTCAATCACTTCTTGTTACAAGCCTCTGTAAGCCACAGAAGCCCCTTCCAAAATGGAGGAGATTTAGACTGCCTTGGCAGTGTGGTATCAAACAAATCTGCAGGATTGGTTCCCATATGTTCCCCTCACGGCTGTTCATTAAGAGGGATCAATCTGAAGGAGTGATCATGAACTGCATGTGTTTGCATAAAGTCCTGTGTGTTACTTTTCTTTCCCTGGAAATAAAGGCAGTGTCTTCTTCCAACATGACGGCTGGACCAGCCTTGGTATTCAGTCAGGGGTTTGCTAAAACTCCTTGAAAACAGTTAAAATTAGACCTCTGGAAACTGGAAAGGAGGTCATCATTTACTCTGCGAGAAATCTGGGACAGGACACAGAACATGTCACCAATCTCTGATAAAATGTGAATGCACTTGGAATTAGAAAGAAAGCAACAAAAAGACAAAAACCAAAGGAAATGGGCGCATTCACCACACGACCTTATGTAACTACCTTTCCCCATATATGTCACAGTAACGCATGTATCCCCATTGTGAATTTTTTGCTTGCTCAGGCTATAGGGGGGTGGGGCTCAAGTCTGGTGTATATGATTATGTTGCAGAGCTACTTTACGAGATGTGACCCTTTTCCCACTTTGTGTGTCTCTTCCCCAGAGGAGGGCGAGTACTTCTTGAAGGTGCTGATCCCCAGCTATGCAGCCGGCTCTATAATTGGCAAGGGCGGCCAGACCATCGTACAACTGCAGAAAGAGACGGGTGCCACCATTAAGCTGTCCAAATCCAAAGACTTCTACCCAGGTAAGAATGGACACTTGGTAATTAAAATCGATGCCCATAAAGGCTTATATATATATCTATATATACTGTACATCTATGAGAGGAGTCATATGACTCATAGCGCAGACTGAAGATGGATTCTTGGGTGAAGAGTGCAACTGATACGTTGTCTTCATTTAGCTTTCCTATGAGTTATTGCATCATAAACACTCTGATCTTGATTATCCTTTTGTCCTTGGGTGACTAACATGCATGTGGATGTTACAGACGTAGCATTCAAGGCTGCAGGAAATATCAGCTTCATTTAAGAAGGGATGTGTACTTGAGTATTGAATTCATTTGTACGTCAGCAGTTGTTGAATGAATAGAGCATTGGTATGAATTCATTGAGTCATCAAATGTCTTATTTTTTCGGTCATACGCATGAAATAGAAGATATATACGTACCAATATACCACGTTTTTTCTTCCCAGTACAGATTTTGAGTCCTAGACTCAAGCATTTGCTGATACAGAGTCCTCCACTGACACCAGTGCGCCCAGGAGTTAGACCTAATGTTGGAGAACACACTTGTGCTAGAAGCGTACTGCTATTGTCTGTGATCTTCCCATCATGATTCACCAGACAACAGGTCGTTTATGGGGCTCAAGAATAATGCTATCTGTGCGTTGCATTGACTGACAAACTCCTCCCTACCAGGAACCTTATTTAAGGCTATATTCAAGACCAATACTGGTATTGGTATCATAACTACTATATACTGTAAGAGTGATAACTGGAAGTATTTCACAGTGTAAATGAAATGAGATGTGCAGTTAAAGCTATGTAGCATTAAACAGTGCGTATGAAAGAACTACTACCAGCATGTTATACCATTTTTGCGTACAAGCCCAAGGAGGAGAAAAACAGACCTTAGGCTATTTTTCTTCATCTAATTTTATAGCTTGGTTAGCACTTAGCACACCCTCTTTACGCTTATAGACCAAAGAAGATTAGCCACCATGAAACTACAATAGTGATGCAAGATATGCTGATGTTAAGATTTTCGGAACTAGGTGGTTTGGGGCTGGCCGATGGCGTTTGTTGGGCCAGGAAACAGGCTACAATTGTGGTAATAAAAAACTACAAGTGTGGAAAGACGTGTGAGGAAATAGAGGGCTGACATGTGAAGTCCAGATAAGGTAGCTAACTGTCATGACAAGAGCTCTTACTGCGGAGTCAAAAGTAATCATCACTTGCTATTTTTGTTTTGTGAGACCTTGTGTATTCTTTTATAATTTACTGTGAAGTGATGTTACAACCTTCATACCACGTCTGTCCTTTTCTTTTGCATGGATCTGCCGTTTTACCCCCCACCCCCCGCCTGCTCCCAAATGCGAGCAAAAAAATTCAGTGCCGCAGAGGAAACATTGCGTAGTACCTAAAGGGTATGTTTAATTGTGCTGGAGTCCCTCTAAAAAAAGGCAACAGGAGGAGGATGCTGGTGCAGCTCGCTGACCCTTATCACATGGAGGTGAAAGTCGAACCATCCTCTCCTCTAAACGCAAAAGCCGGAGTCGTAGAGGAGTCTCTGTGTTTGTCCTTCATGCCTCAGAGGAGGCTTCAACCTGCTGAAAAATAACAGGTGCTGAGCGTCTCGCTGCTTATTAGCTCCAGATGTTCTCTGTGACAACTGAAGCAAAAATCCCTGTGTAGTAGTAGTATTCCTTTTTACTGTACATAGAATAACGTCTTTAGATAGAAAACAGGTAGTAGTTCACATGGCCTCTGGGATATGGATAGCACAGAATATGTATATGAGAAATATTATAGGTGGGTTCACAGTCAGGTCTCTAGCTGCCTTAAACAACTCAAAGAAATAACTCTGATGCTCTACTCAAATTACTTCACAGTATGGGCTGAACCAAATGTCACAAAATTAGACGATTAAGTTGTCAGCCCTCAAAAATGAACATGTGATGATGCGCAGCAGCAGAAGAAGAAAACTGATGCTTTCAGGTTTAAGTGTGCGACTTCTTTGGTATCAGTCCGTAGCCTGTCGGTACTTTAATTACTTTAAGACTAGAAGTAATGCTAAGTTAAATCCTGGTTGTATATATTTTTTTTTAATATTTTTAGTGCTTATTTACTTTGCATTTAATATGATATTGTGTTTATTTGCTAATATTGTGTGTTTGGATAACCTGCTGCTGTAGCGCCACAATTTCCCAGTTTGGGATCAATAAAGTAATTCTATTCTATTCTATTCTTTTCTATTTTATTTTAAATAATAAAAATATTGCTAAAAAAATACAAGTCACGCAAACAATCTTGCTATAAGGATAATTACAGCATTCCTCAAAGTGGCAGTAAGCAACATATTCAAGAGGAATGCGGCTGACCGTTGTCACAGCAACCTGTCTGCAACCCAAACATTCTCTTCACACAGTGGCTGTGATTGGCTAGTTACACAAGCTAACCCTGATTGGTTGTTTCATTCAGACCTGATGAGAAAAAAAAAAAGGAAATACAAAAGAGGGCTCACAGACACAGATCAGACAGTTTCAAGCAGTGGTTCCCAAACTTTTTTGGCTCGTGACCCCACTTAGAATTCACAAAACGCTGGCCATCCCAGACATCCAAAAAACATACAGCTGTTTGCTCGAATTGATTTATTTTCATCATGTTATAGTTTTTCTACTGTGTTGCTAGTGAACATTAATTTTAGAGCACATTTAGGCTTTTCTGTTTTCTGTGTGTTTTATTGTGGACAGAGGAAGAAAGGCTGGGATGACATTTCTGCACAATGGATGACAGACAGACAGAGACTCTGCAGGTTTCTTGTTTTGGCTTTGGCCCACAGTAGCATGTGTTCAAAATATTTTAATATATACGATATAATTTTTATTGATTTATAAATAAAAAATTCAGGCGACCCCGTTTAAATTCCATGTGACCACGAGGTTGGGAAAGCCTGGTTTAAAGGAACATTTCAATATATTTTTGTCAGTGGCATGCAATGATCCAAAAGTGAAAACATTCTGCACACTGCAGCTTTAAGCGACCACCAATATTAACACACAGAGAAACATTGTCCCCCGGATTTATTTCTCCATCATATTGCTGTGGCCTCTGATTAGGGCGAATTGATATGGACTGAAAATAAAATCTAAGATCTTTTTTAAACGACTCTAAATCCCCTGATTTTTATTTTATCTGATTTAGATACTGGAATAATTAAGTCGTGCAGTGTTTTTAAGTTGCCACAGACTTATGAGCATTTAAACAGTGCACAGTGGTTTATGAGAGGTCGGGTGCTGACAAACTGAACCCCCCTCTCTGATAACTCAGGAGCCTTTTCTGGGGACAAACTCTTAAGTGAGCCCTACTGCATGCTGCCATTTTGCCATACTTACACGTGTAAAGAAGAACTCTCACATTGTCTATACTAGAGTTCATCATTATTACCCTAGTAAAAATAAAATAACTGTATTTCCAGTTTTGAATTCCCTCCCTTACCATAAACTTGAATTAATTGATGAAATTTAGATCTTCCCCAGCTCTTTCTTGACTTCTGCAATTTCAGCTGAAAAAGAGTCTTTGGATCTATTTAAGGCACAGCAGCAGAGTTCACCAGCGTCTTATGCACAGCATGGTTTGAATTTGACCTGTTCTGCTGGGAGTTACTTGTGATATATTGCACTGACTGAACCGTGGCAAAGAATTACAGAGCACTGGGGGGAGAGGAAAAAGAGGGATGTGCTTGCAAATATTTTTCCTGCCCTTTTTTTTTCTTCCACCATGTTTCTGTTAGGCCCGATGACATCACGTGTGTGAGATGTCTTCAAATCCTCCACACACAACTAGGTTTTTTGGGAATGAAATACAGCCACTTTAGGAATAAATGGGAGGAGTGATATGTGTTCTTATTTCTCTTTGTGAGTTGTGGATGTGTTCATGGGCCAGCACCTGCTCTGCCCATCCCCCCCCCCACTCATTATCGTGATGAGTGAGAAGAGGAGTTCAGGGAAAGGGTGCTGGCAGGGATTTGATTGGGCGGTTGTTCTGGCCCACACAAGTAAAATAAAACGGCTGCGCCTGCCACTGTACACTGCACAATAGCTAAGGAGTCAGAGGAGACTTCACTCGAGCTGTGTTCAGTTCAGGGAACTTTGTGAAGTTTGTAAGAGGGGCATGTTTCTGGTAATGGAGGATTCAAGCCTTTTTAAACCTTATTCCTATTTTTACTTATTTTGGGTCTAAATTACTTATTTATTCAGAAGATTTTGGAATTGCTGCAGGAGATTTCTTCAGCATGCAAGACCAAGTAATAATACAAGACCAAGTAATAATACAAGACAAAGCAGTAGTAGCTTCAATCTACTCCTGTGGGCCAAATGCAGCCTATAGTATGTGCTTCTTTTTGCAGCTGACAGGCTCAGATTATTATTGAAACTGTCTGACAACATTACAGATATTATCCCTGAAGTTAAATAATAAGATGACTTTTTTCACCAGACTCCATGAACAAAAACAGTGATTTTACATTGCAGAACATTGAGGTGGTCAGCTACCTTTGCCTCCGTTGTTTAATTTGTTATGTGTCATTATTGTAATTTGGTGGTGAAGAGTTACTTTGGATCCAGCACTGTATTTTTTTTAACACACTAATGGAGGCATTAGGAGACAATTAACTCCCATGTTCTGTGTGGGTAAAAATACTGTTTTTTGCCAATGGGGTCTGGTTGTACTGAAAACTCTGAAATACAGGATGTTCCTGGTTTAGTAATATGTCCTTACTGCTATGAAAAAAACATCAATAAAAGTGGGGATCCTTTCTGTGGTGTTGCTGTATTCCTATAATAACAATCTCAGCCTTTTAATTAAAAAAAGCACTTTCAGTGGACGTACTTTGATAAAGCGCATTTCCCCCACAGCATTAAATTACAGCCATCACTTCCTGTTTCCAGAAACTGGCTGAAGCAATGTACTTGAGAGTTTTTTTTTTTACATTTCATTAACTTACAACCCAAATTATACAA